GGAGCAGGTCAGCCAGTCTGGCAGAGAAGAGCCTCCTCCCCAGTTATTGTATTGTTATAATTAAACTAGTACAACCCTTTTGTTGTATAAATCATCCTAATCATATACCTTATACTTTTATGGAGAGGGAGGTAAGCTAAGTAGTATAACCTGAGTCCATATTGGGGATTGTGTTTCTGCAATGATTTGTATTTGTAGTTGGGAAAAAAACCCAAAAAACCCCCACCACCTCAAGTTTGTGCATAAACTGTGTTAAAACCATACGAAGGTCAGGGGATGGCAATCTTTAGGAGTAATATAATGCTGCTTGCTTTGCGGTGGGCCAGTGCTTCTGATTTGGTGCTGCTGCATGTGCAAATCTCTCCCTGTCACTGCAGAAGCCCCCCAGTGCAGAATTGCTGCCGAAACCCCTTGCAGCTGATATCTTGGCTTTATGGCCTGAATAAAATCCCTCCATAGGCCAAAGATTGCCAAACCCCATGTGGTTATTTCTGTATTCCTACTAATCTGGAACTACAAACACCTGTTTCCTCCCAGTTACAGGAAATATCTCCCCCTCTTTTCTGCCATGTCCAATGGCCTTTAATGGAACAGCAATTATTATGTTTTAATTTATTACAATAACTCACTAAGTGTAGGTAGCATTAATTGAAACTGCTTATTGTCGTGACCTACATGAAATGATTTAGGGTAGTTATTCTTAAAGCCTTTTCTTGGTCTGGGGGATTTTCACCATCTGTTATTGTTAAAATATTTGATGACCATGCAGAAGGTAACTTGTATGTATGTATATTGATGACAATCTTTAGCAAGATAGACGTTTTTGACATTTTGAGTTCTGTGATCTCAGAACAAAACCAATTCTGTGACTGCAATGTATGTGCAGACAGTTATTCTCAAAACCATTTGGGTCCTTGAATAAATAGTAATGTTTAAAAATCCAGTTTTATTTTCCTGTTGGACTGTTGACCCTTCTTATGATATGATATGATATAATTTTATTCTTAACTCTCATTTGATGTAACAAACTAGAATGATAGAATGTGTTTGAGCACATATTAGTGTATTTACTTGAATATAAGACAACCCTGAATATAAGATGATCCCCCCAATAATTAGATCTATTATGGAAAATGTATACATTTTATTACAATTTTCCAGGTATAGAATCTTAATTATCAGTGGATTCTCTTGATTTTGCCCTCTTCCCAGTTCTGCAGTAGGGAATATAGTGGCTGGGGGAAGAGGGAGGCAGAGGTGGCCTCCTTGATGTCTTCCCATCCTCTTTCCCCACCACCCCCTTCCCTCTGTAGCCTTCTTGCCCCCCCTTTACTGTCAGACCTGCTCGGGTTCTGTTCCATCCCTGAGCGCAAGTGAGCTGCATGTGATAAGAAGTTGGGGGAGGGACAGAGGCAAGACCAGAAGCTGCAGAGTGGGGCCAGGCAGAAGGGAGGGAGGGCAGAAGATACAGAGTGGGGAAGGAGACTGCTGTGGGTCTGACTTTGGCTCTGACCCAGACTTCAGTCTTGGGACCTTGGGCCAGGGGCAGAACCACCTGCTGCTCCTTCCCTCCCCCCACCCTTATTAATTTGATACTCAGAGGAACAAAAACACAGACTTTGAAATAAACAGATGTGCAAATTACTATGGGTACATATTGACTTAGTTCATCCAGAATTAATGCACATTAACCTTTTGTAAACTGCTTCACATTTTTGCACAAGTATTCCGTAAACATGTGGAGTACCACTTTTGTGCCTACTTATACATAATGTAAGCTTTTGTTTGTTTGTTTTGTTTATTGCACCGCTCTTGGAAGCACTGTAATTCCAGGCCAGTGCATGGAGTGGATGGAGCAAGCTCCAGTTCCACCTCCAACACCAAAAATCTACTCAATATAGACCTCCTATGGAGAACATATGATTGGGAGCCTACCACAAGAATAGGTTAGTGCATCCCAACAGCCACCTGTCTGGTTATGGTGTCTCCCCAGCTGTGCATGATGTTAGTCCATAGCCAAAAGCCTCATGACTTATCACATGGTTCATTGGACTGGCCCCAGCAGAGTCTACAGTGTTTCAAGCCATGGTGACCTCACAGTCCAGCACTGCTCAGTATGTATGCATATTCCAGATATCCCCACAAAAGATCCATGTGTTTAACTGGCCCCACACTTGTAACTGAAACTGGGTGTTCTTGATACAAGTCCTGGGACCCTCCAAAAATTTATATGCAGATGAGGTGCAGGGCAGCCTGGTCCTGGTCCACCTCATAGAGAGTGGGGCCACGCTAATCTCATTCGCCAAGCTGAGAGAGGGGGTGACAGAACCTTTTGGCTACGTGGAACTTTGGTGATGTTTGCCAGACATTTAAGGCTTGTGAAGAAATGGAAATCATTCGAAAAGGGAAAGAGAGGCACTGCTTAGTGGTGGGAGTGAAGAGGAAGTTTTAAATGTGTTTGATGTAATGCTTCATCGTGGCTTGAAAAAGTTAGCGCTGAGGGGGACTGTATTTTATTCAGATGGGCTGCGTTAACCTGTCCTTGTGGTAGGTTCCCATCAGCATTTTTGGCACTAGGGGTGGAATGTTGGAGCTTTGGCCAAGTCCCAAAAAACCTCGCAGCCTCTATTTGGAAGATACTGGCATGCCAGTGGTAGATGGCAGGTGGGCTACAAGGGTGCCAATCCTTGTGGCAGTACAGCCCCGGCCCCTTTCTCACTGTGCTCCCCAAGGCACGTGTATCTGCTGCCAGCAATGAGCTGGGCCAGGGTTCTGGACCTCAGTGCAACTGCTTGAAGCCTTGCAGCTGCCTGCTACAAGCACCCCGGGCTCTGTGGTGGGCGGCAGGAGCCTGCCCAGAACCTGGGCTGCTCACGGCAGGCAGCTGCGACCCTGCAAGCCACTTGCACCAGGGTCCAGAGCCCCAGCCCGGCTTGTTTCCAGCAGTGGTTGCACATGCGCCTTGGGGAGCATGGTGGGGAAAGGGCTGGGGCTCCAGACCCTGGTGCACTAGTTGCGGCTTCCCGGCTGCCTGGCATAGCCAGCCTGGGCTCTCTGGGCAGGCTTCTGCTGCCTATCACAGAGCCCGGGTTGCCCGCAGCAGGGCTTGCAGCTTCCCTGCCACATGCTGTGAGCAGCCTAGGCTCTGTGACCTGCAGTGGCTACCCAGAATTTGAGCCACCTTTGGCATGCTGAGCAAAATGGCTTCATGTGCCATGCTGTGGCACGCGTGCCAGGGGTTGCCAACCCCTGCTCTAGAATGTCTTAGTGGTAAATTGTCTAGTTTGCTGTTATTTCTCTAAGTCTTATTTGTATCTTACTGAAGGGTTATATTTGATATTTCTGTGAACTGATAATGAAGCAACTATTTTAACTTTTTGTTTACAGTATTTGTCTAATGTAGTGGTACATGGTGATCTCTGTTTGTTTTCTTTTTCTTTCTTTTGGTCCAGTATATATCATGGTGCTATTTAGATTTAATGGCTATAAAATGTTTTGAATGCATCTGTTTGAAGTTACTAGGAAGTACAAAATATTTTAAATTGTAAAAGTGAATGTATTTATTTTACTATTATAACTATAATTGATGTAATTCTGTCAGATACAGAGCCTTGTTTTAGCCAGGAGAGGGCACTCAAAAATAGATTTAAAAAAACTTTTACCAAGCATCTGGTTTAATACGTTTATCTCTCTGCACATAAAAGAATATAGAAGGGGATACTCTCTGTTAATTAAAATAAAAATAAAGATTATGGTTAATCTTTGTGTGTTTGTTTTTTATATATTGTATAGGAGGCAATACACCTGGTGGGACTGCCTCAGCACAGACCAACCCAGGAATACTGGGAATGGGTGGAGGTGCAACTGTATTACCTGCATTTGAATATAGAGGTACCTGGATACCGATTCTTAATGTAACAGTCCAGGGCAGTGCTAAAGCTACTTAGTAAGTAATAATGCCTATTTTAAAATGTTTTAGTTAAAAAAATATATATATATTTCTTGGTGATTATACAATATTTCTGTTGTATGGCAAGCCATGCATTGCATTGCTAATGTCAAACAATGTAGATTCTCTTCAGGCTGATATATTTTTTTTTTTTATTCTTTCTATATTTGAGATTTCCATTCAAATATTACTCATTACTTTATCAACAGTCAACCGTGTTCTTTACCGTACCCTTTCTGTGTTAATTTTGTGCATACTGCATCTATGTAGTAAGAAGCGTTCATGGGAGTAGAAAACACTTTTCCAACTTTACTGGCAGTTTTTTGAAGTTTAAAATACTGACAGTATTAGTGAAATACTGGTCCTTTTGCTACTCTAAGTATGTTGTGAGTCCCTATGCTGAGAATGAATTATAAGCAGTCCACATGGTTGGCATCTCAATCTTTCTCAAGATTATAAATCAGAAGTTCTTGTACTCAGAACCTGAGCCAAGGCTTATAGTCAGTTTCAGGGTGTTATAATGTCTGTTGAAGCATTATTGACATGAATGACTGACATTATTTCAACGATGTCATCTCTTTAAAAAAGTCATTTATTTTCAGAACCTACAAAGTGTTACTACACTGCTTAAAAGATGTCAGGCACCTCAAGTCAATAATCTGAAGATTCATACATGAATGTAAAGAGGCTGATTCCTAACTGCAATTGTAGACTTAGTCTTAGAAAAATAAATTCTAAACTTTAGTTTTGAAGGTTTAGCAATAGTGTACGCATGTATGTAAAAGAAACAATGTTTACTGAAACAAGGAAACCAAAAAGGAATGCAAAGTTCTCTCTTATTTGCACTGTTCTTGGGGGCTACTTGTTTCAACTATAAGTGGATCCTTTCTGAAAACTACTTGAGCCTTTTTCTCCCTCTTCTTATTTTTTCCTTTTCCCTGTCTCTGACTTTTTAGCTAAAATCATCATGCTTCCCCAAGCACTTTCCAGCTTTTGTTCCTTAAATGAATCTGTTTTTTTCCTAAATCATTTTAATTTCTTTTACCAGAAGAGACTCTTAAGTTGTCCCCTGTCTATAGTCATCTTCTGTCTCATCCCATCCCCTCCTGCTGTTGTAGATTTTCTATTAGAGCCAGAGGTGCAGGATTCTAAGGGTCTCCTGTATTATGACTATATACATAACCTAGTGAGGTCCCTTTTGTATTGTGGTAAAAGCCAGGCATAGGAATCATGGGCTGGAATGGTGGATCTCTTGACCTACTGGGATTTCCTCTTCCCAAATTACTGTACCTTGCCTTTAAGGGCAAGTGGATTTGTGACAGCCCACAATCTGAATGTGTAGCTCAAGCTGAGACACCATTCGTGTGTGTGTGTGTGTTCAAGCACATGTGTTCAGCAGAGTATGGAAGTTTTTTATGGTTTTTTTTTCCTGGAACTGCCTCTGCATGGGGGGTAAAAAGAAAGTAACATGGGGCCTCTGCAGGAGACGCTTGGAAATTTGGTCGTCTCACCAGCCGACAAAGCTAACCTATTTAATAATTTCTTTGTCTCCATTTTTCTGAGCAGGGACCAAGTCATCCCCCCACCCCACTGGGATCCCTGGTGGTCCCAGGGGAGGCACAGCCAGGCCCAGGGTCAGAGAGGACCTAGCTGGGAAACTTCTGGTGGGACTGCATGTGTTCAGCAGGTCCTGACGATCTCCAGCCCAGAATGCTGAGGGAATTAACAGAGGTCATTGGCACAGCTTTATGAGCACTCATGGTGCTCTGGCGAGGTGCCAGATGACTGGAAAAGGGCCAACATGGTCCCCATTTTCAAAAAGGGGAGGAAGGAGGACCCAGGAAATTATAGGCCCGTTAGTCTTACCTCAGTCCTAGGGAAGCTCTTTGAGAAAATTATCCAGGTGCACATCTGCGAGGGGCAACCAACATAGGTTCATTTGAGGCAGGTCCTGTCAGACCAACCTGGTGGCCTTCTATGACCAGGTCACAAAATCCTTGGACGCAGGTGTCACAGTAGAGATAGT